GATTGAGACCAATGTATACATCAGGGTGGTCCAAAAACAGTTAAGTCGGAATTGTAATGCTCTCACCCTCTAGCATTGTTCTATATCGAAAAGAAGTACACCCCAATTTTTTTATTTTGAAATCGAAAAATATTTAGTGGTCACTCAAAGCGCTCAAAGTTTTCTATACATTTTATATGGGGAAAAACAACTTTCCATAGAAATGGTATAGAATTCTTGAAAATCAATATTTTTCGATCGGAAAACTCTGGTTCTCTTCAGGAGACTTTCAGTAATAATACCCAATTATTTATTGAATCACTTTTTAGTACTAACTATGTTTTATTGGTCCCCCTTTTGCATTTTTGGGGGTTTTGTGGGTTTTTGACGGACCTATAAAATATAGTCGCGATGAAAATATGGTTAGATAACTAATTGGGTATTATTACTGGGAATCTTCTGCAGATAAGCAGAGTTTTCCGATAGAAAAATATTGACTTTTAAGAATTCTATACCATTCTTACGAAAAGTTGTTTTTTTCCCATATAAAATATATGGAAAACTTTGGGCGCTTTGAGCGACCTCTAAATATTTTTTGACTTCAAAATAAAAATATACGGGTATATTTTTTTCGGTATAGAACAATCCAAGGGGCTGAGAGCATAAAAATTCCGACTTTGCTTTTTCACATGGATTTTTGGACCGCCAATGTATACATTCCTATGTATGTGTTTTTATATATGTATATCTATTATCTATGTAGGTATATTTTTATCTTTTCGTTTCCACTGCTTTTATTTTATTATATTTTCGAAATATATTTATTAAATATTTAAACCGATTTTTTTATACTTATTGCCTGAAATTTCAATGAGACCTGGTTTCCATGAGATTCTGTAAATGCAATCGTAACATTAACAGCACGAATTTCGTATTTTTTTACAATATAATTATTGAAATCCATAAAAAATCGAAATAGACCAAAAAGTACAAGATTTGGAAACATTTTAATTTTCCAATATTTTAATTTAGCTCTTTTCAAGTTTCGCTATACACAATTTAAAATTTAAAATTTTTGCTTCTTATTAATTTTTTTTTTTATAATTTATATCAAATCACAGATTTTGTTTTGTCTTCATATTTGCGTCTTGTTTATTTTGCATATAATTGCTGTTATATTCATAAATTCCGCAAGAAAGTACTAGCGCAAAAGACCAAATTTTCTGAACATTTTTTTCTTAGTAAGATTTTTTTTTTTTATAATTTTGACTACAATACATACATTACAACTTCCAATTATCTAAACACTTTTTTTGTTTTTTTTTTGAGTACATCGTTTCGTTTTTTTCTTTTTCAATTTGAAATTTTGAATTAATTTGAAAATCTCGATATGCATTACATTTTGTTGTGATTGGTTGAATCATTTCCATTTCATTAAAAGTGCAGGCCTGAGGTAAGACTGGTTGGCAATGGAAATTTCTCGGTGGCGTAGTTGGCTAAGCAGATACACTTTTATCTCAAAGTTAAGTTTAAATTTACTGAGGTTTAGTTCCTTTTGGGTTTTTAGTTCTGAAACCCTGAAAGGTGCTGAACATCTAAAAATCATCTTGATGCCTCTTTCTTCTACGTGCGGTTTCCCATTCATATTTCCCCAACAGCACTGTACAGTTATGTCCAGATATCGTAATTCGGACTGATTATTTTCTGTCTGGACCAGCGGCCGTCATTTGTGAGTGCTTAAAGGTGCGCAAGATAGGGCCCAGCGTCGACTCCTCACCCGATCACCATAAAAAGTTTTTTCTCAACGGCCGCCCCTTCTTCTCATAAAATAAACATTGCTGCTCGTAGGCGGTGTTATGCCGCAAGTGCATTATTCGTGTCTGTATAAAGCTAATTTACTTACAGTATTGTTCGAAAAAAATATCTTATTGAACATTTTCAGAAATTTTTACATTAGAGCGCATCACCAAAAAAAAGCTCCGATTTTACTCGAAAATATTTCGGAAAAATATTAAGATTGACGTGATTTAGACGGATTTGAAAATATTTACATCCAAAAATGTAATTATAAAATACTAAAATTTTTAAACATTTTTATGCAGACGATTTAAGCTAATATTTTTTATCACCTGAGTTGATTTTTTTGAAAAAATATTTTTTAAAGCTATTTTCAAATAGTTACAGTTCACGTAGATCTAAATTTTTTTTTATATTTCCGATGGAAAAACATTACCTATTTTTTTGTTGGAGAGTGATCTACCCTAATGTACATATCGACATATTATTTTTTTATTTTCTTTTTGATACAGAAATGTTTCGAAGCCATGAATAAGAAGGTATTCATGAATAAGTTGAGAATTCCAGGATTTAGGAAAAATTTTCACCAAACTTAGTGACCGAAGGAGCTACGATCTGTTTAAGGTCACTCGGAAAGTATATTTTCATTGTTGCCTAGTTTAATCAACTCAGCGGCTACTGCCCCCTACGCGTATGCTTGCATCTTATGTTAAATTTTTTAGGTCATTGCACAGTGGGCTGTGGTTTGCGAAATCGAATGTAAAAAATAAAAGTCAACTTTTTATGGTTTAATTTTGTTATATTTTCACTTTATTAACAAATCCAAAAAGGAGTTATGAATTTTGAATTTTTTCTTGATCATCGCATTTCTTAAAAAAAAACACACTTTGTTTATTTCGAAAGAAAATTAAATTAATAATAGTAGTAATAATAATAATGTTTTAAAGCAGCAAAATAAATACCATACACTTGTGTAAATTCTATACAAACTAAATATAACCTAGAATTGTATGTATGTAAGTATTTGCATTTAATGTATGCGTAGAAATTTAGATGATTTGAGTCGTACCAAAAAAGCAATAAAAAAAACGTAAATTTGTATATAATTCATTTGCACATGAGGCCTAAACGTAAATTTTGTACAAAAAAAGCAGTCGCTTAATTTGTTTTTTTTTAAACCTTAATTTCGTTTAAAATTAGTTAACAGCCAAACAAGAATTTTGTATGTAAATTTGAGAGAAAATAGATCACAGTTTGTCGTATTTTTAAATTTGCCAATTTTGATACCAAAAAAAAAATACATGAATATAAACTAAATATCTAGCGCATGAAATTCTACATACAAACATACGCGGATTGGAGAATTACACTTAGGGGAAAAAAAAACACGAATATATGTATATATACTAAGTATTAAGGGTACAATAGACAAAAACAAAACAAAATTAAAATTAGTTAAAAACAATTAAAATTAAAATATACATTTTTTTTTAAGGAAACTCTGTTCTCTACAACTAAATTACTACTACATACACATTTGTGAATATTTTATGTACTCGTAAATTTAAAGACATTCATTAGCACTGAGTCGATAGTCGGGCAATGTATTTGAAATGCATTTGTAGAGCAGTGCGTCATACATAGCGGTTTTTGAAATGAACGGCGCAAATTAAAACGCATTTGTGTTTCAAAAAAAAAAAAAAAAACCGAGTTGCAGTGTGACTGCTGTGTCGCACTGCTTTGGCAAGTCGGGAGTTGGGCGAATGGGAGTGCGTAAAAAGAAATTTTGGTTTTTAACTGTGATTTTGAATAAATCGAATTAGGAAAAAAGTCAATTGGTAACTGTACAATGCTGCTGTATTACGGGATTAAGGTTAGAGAACCGCTTAAGCGCGCTTTAAGTGGTGAAAGCAAAATGAGCTTTCACACAAGCTTTCACTCACTCGCCTGAGCTTTGAATACTGCCCATATATTCAAACTATTTTGTCTTGCGTTTTTTTTTTGTGTTTTTCTGTGCCTTTCGCTTATATTTTTGACATTCTGAGATTATGCATGGCACACGTTTGCATGTTTTGTAATACTTCTTATCATTACGGGGTTTTTTTTTTAGCTTTAATTTGCTTTGCTATTTCGTTATGTAACTGCTAGTGTGACCTTTTGCGCGTTGCTAGCAACTTAAGCTGTTTTTCGTCAGCTAAAAAGCTTCTTGTAGTGCTTTTTTTCCTGCTTTGTTTTTGTCATTGTTTAAAAATATTAATTCCTGAGACTGTTTGTTGCGGATATGTGCGAAATTAACAAGTTGGAATTGGCGCTCGTGGCGTCCGTTGGCTTCCAAATTGTTACTTTTTTCTTGCAATAAATGCTAATATTTTGTAAAAGTTAAGTGTTGTTTTTTCTTAGACTTTCGCTTTTAATAGATTTTTGCCTTTTAGTTTTTTTTAATTTTTAATCTTTACTTGGCGTATAATTAATGTGTCAATTATTTTTTAATTATGTATTTTTTAAATATTATATTTACATGCTTATATAGTTAATAAAATTTGTTTTTTTTTCTACTTTTGAGCGAAAATCTGTTTGATGTACATTTAGAAAAATATTTCAATATTTTTTTTTTTATTTAAATGAAACTTCAGCTATTTGCAATAATTTCTTTCGTATTTGATTTTCTGCGCGATTTTTTTGCTTAAGTTTGTGTTTTATTCAACAAAACTGTACAAAAACAACTTTGAGGTTTTTGAGGCTTTTCGTACTAATTTCTTGAATTTCTGCTGACTCTTGCATGCTTTACTTAAATTTTTTTTTTGTTTTCCCTGCTTGTAAATGTTTTTATGCAATTAGAATTGTAAAGTTCCGAATATACAGTTATGCCTTTTGTTTTATTTGCAACATATTTTATTTTGTATTTTTGCATTTACTTTCATTTGTTTGTATAAATTTCAAGTCATTTTGTACTTCACTGGTGAAAATCACTGAGTTTGTGTTTGTTTTTGTTGTTTTGCATTTTGCATAAATATGTTTGCGTCTTTCATATGTATAATAGCTGGTTGGCCTACATTTAGCATTGTTTTGCACATTTGTGTGTGTGTGCGTGTGTGTGTGTGTGTGTGTGTGTATTGTATACATATATGCATGGTTTTAATAAATTTCATCGATTCCACTTAAAGTTTTTGTTTCTTTGTTTACCTTTTAGTTTGCTAAAATTGTATTAAATCTTTCTTAATTTCTTTTTTTGTTTTACTTTTTATATAGTTAATGTAATTGTATAGAAAAAAGGACTTGCTACTGATATTAATCCCTGATAAAGTTCATTTAGATTTACACTTAATCAAATTTAATTTATATATGTATGTATGTTTGTATATATGTATATGTTTTTGTATATTTGCAATATAATATGCAACTTTTTAGTTCTACTACTTTTCCTTGCTGCTTTCGCTTTTATCCTATCGTAATTAATTAAGAAATGCAAACGGCTGAAACCGCTTTGGCACACAGCGTTGCCCAAGTTATGCCTAACCGGCACAATCACGCTTAAAGTTTCTTGTGTTCACCTAAGCATTTTTCAATTATTTAATTTGAATTTTTTTCGGTTTTAATTTTTTTTTTTCTTTTTGCTAATAACTAGCTTAACTGCAACTGTACTTGGAAGTGTTCAGTTCAATTGATTTTTTATTTCGATTGGAATACATTTGATTTTCAGAGAGTTTTCAGCGCACTCGAAAGCAAAACAACAATTCATATGTACGCAAAAAGAGGGAAGAAAAACCTAATGGAAAAAACACAAGAAACCGACTACTAAATATCTATGTTTGCCCGAACAAAAAATTGCAATTCATAAAGACACGCGCGCAACGGCAAGCGCAGCGGTGGGCGTTGCGTACTATTTTTATTTATTTTTTTTATTTATGTGTGCTCTCGGATTTCTGCTACTCAAATTCTAAATTTTGCTAATTAATCGACACCGCAGCGGTATCGAATGTTGCGTATACGCCATGATATGTACAAATTGATAATACCAAACGTGTAACGCACGCGCCCCCGCGCCTACGCCTTCGCCATTGCCATCGCATGCTTCTGTTGCCCACTGCACAACTTCCGCTGTAGCCAGTAGCTTATGCTGACTCAGCTGTTTCTCTTCTCAAATTCCGGCCACACTTGGTGGCGCGCATATTGCAAAAAACTAACGGTTAAGTGTGGTAGATGCATTCAGCTTTAGATTTGCTTTGCTTCTGCATTTGGCGATAAGCAATTAAATTATTAAAACTAACGGTAATGGTAAGTATACTAGCATTAAATGTAGCTAAGAACTTATTTAGATTAAGCCTTAAACTGCATTTGTATTGTATGTATGGATGTGTGTTCCTAAGTGTATACGCGTGTGTGTGTGTGTGTCTATTTACAATGGAGACTTCTGTTCTCACGCTTTACTTTCAAGTTAGCGGCTGCCAGGCCAGCCTCAACTGTTGCGCTAACTATTCAAAATTTGTAGCAGCTTTTTTAGCGCATAAATATTAAATTCAAAAGCTCACTTCGTAGCCGGTAAGGGCTAACTTTTACCTTAGTTACTGTATTGCACTTGGGCGTCAACTGCGCTGATACTGGCCGCGCTCTAAGCCGCTCAGTTTGTTGTGTGTGTGTGTGTGTGTGTGTGTATGTATGTGCTACACATACATATGTATGTTTACAGTTAGCGAAAAAAACCTAAAATCTTATAAACTTATACAGAATTCTAAAGCATTACTAATGTATGTATGTATATACGCGTACATTTACATTAACATATAAGTTAAGCGATATGCACGTCTATTATCTAATTAGCATAATTAAATTTGAAAATATTACATAATTTTTATTTTTTTTTTCATTTAAATGCTGCGCGCTTATACTCCGCCGCTCAAATTACTTGGCGGTGGCTCTCTAAAAAATCGCATTCCATCTGAAATCCTATTGGATGCCTGGTGGTGGCTGTCCCAGCTCGCTGGTGAAGTCAAAGAGACTGGTGCGCGGATGCGTCAGATGGTGGTGGTGGTGGTGATGGTGTGGCGGCACTAGCACATTCTTGATGGCGGACGTCTTGAGTAGGCGCTTCAGCATGCCACTAGAGCCGCGGTGCTGCAGGCTCTTGTGTGTGGTGAGCGAGTTTTTGGTGCGATAGCGTCGGTGACAGAACTCGCAAACGTACAGCGTGTCGGACTGCTCGTGCTTGTCCTGGAAGTGCCGCTTCAGCGAGTAGTAGCATGAGAAGGTGCGCCGGCAGTAGGGGCACTCCTGTGGCTCGTTGATGCCGCCGCTGGTGGGTGGGGGCATGCGCAGCTGCATTTGTGGTGGCGCGGAAGTCAAGGAGGGTGTGACCGATTGAGGGCCGCCGCCACCGCTACCACAGTTGCCGGTGTTGTTGGACGTGATGACGCTGCCGCCGCCGCCGCCGCCGCCACCGCCACCGCTGCCGCTGCCGGGGCGTGGAGGTGATGAGTTGTGCATGTTGAAGAGACCAGCGCCAGCGCTGCCGCCGCCATTGCATGCCAACGAACTCAGCGAAGAGGGCGAAGGCGTTGTGAGCGCGGTGGGCGGTGAGGGTGGTGATGAGGTAGAACTTGTCGGTGACGTGGCCGCCGAGCGTATGGCTGAGTGTGCACCTAAGGTGGGAGAGAGAGAGAGGGAGAGAAGAGGAAAGACAAGACGAGTGAAGAGATTAATAAACGCTTAAAAAATTTGGTGTAGGAAGAGTTTTGGTATTTTTGAGAAGCACGAAAATTAAAAGTGTGTGTGTGGGTGTGCGCGCGAGTAAGAAGTGAGAGAACGAGAGAGGGAGAGAGAGAGGGAGAGAGAGAGTGATAGATAGTTCATTGAAATAAGGAAATATAAAATACGTTTCGTTATTAAGTAGCATGATTTTGTTTTCTATTTTTTTCAAGAGATTTAATATTAAAAATCTGTTTTAGTTCAAAGCAGTTATAGAAATAGTTTGATTTTTTGTATGTGTTTTCGCCTAAAGAATCAACCGCCAAGTGGATATATCTGTGGCATTTTGATAAAAGAGCATACATTTCGTCTTTTTGATTTAAAAAAATAATAGGCTTTAGAAGAATAAATTTTCCTTAAAAAATTTTATATTTTTACTAAGTTTCACATAAAAAGGAATCTAACCTAATCCGTTATAAGTTGTTTTATCAAAATGCCACACATACATACATACATACAAAAAAAAATCAGTATACGAAATTTAGTTTGGTAGTTGTTTTTTGTTGTTTCTTTTAAGGCGTTCGATTGGAAATAAAAGTGAATTCATTTAGAAAGCTTTTTTTTTTTGTTTATAAAAGTATACATACGCATTTTCATGTGTTTTTTTTTTGTAAATTTTTTTTTAGGATAGTGAATGTTCGAGCTGTAAAACTTGTATCTAAAGCGAAAGTTGAAAAAGTCTACGTAGTTGAAATTTATGATGGAAGAGAAGAAACTCAACTAACGTTCAAGTAGGCGTAGAAGTGCCAACAAAATTTAGGATAATTTTTAAATTCGAATTCTCAGGAAAGTGCATGCAATTTAGCAGGCCTTCTTTTGCTTTGAACGCAGATTCACATTTCTACGCACTTACTTGAGTTACTGAGCTGAATATATATTTTCCAAACTTAAAAATTTAATATTAACAAAAATAAAGTATAATACATAAATAAATTAGAAACATATTTACAAACAAGTTTTTATACAAATCACAAATGAAATATTAAAAATTATAAATGCATGCATAATTCGTTTTGGCTATGTATAAACTTTAGGCACTACATTTAAATAAATATATATATATGTATATGTATATTTACAAACATGCATTACAACAAGCGATAAACAATTTTGGGTAACTAATTAACGGTATCAAGCGGTTAAAAGCAGGCGCGGCAGCTAAGCAAACTGAAAAGAATGAGCAAAGCGCCACAAAAGCCAAACACGCCAACGAATCCGCAGCAGAAGCAGAAATTGGAAAACAAGCAAAATGGCATTGACCTATGTATGTATGAGTGGCGCGCATATGCGTCGTCTATGTGCAGTGTAAGCCGGCGTTATTTCATAAGCGTGTATGCGATGACTGGACGGACGCCAAGCGACAGCGCGCTGATGATTGTGAAGATGATTGCGATGATAATGATGACATTTTTGATGTTGACGATGACATTAAAATACAACAATGACTTTGATATGGCTGAAGTCGTATGCATGTGTGTGTGCGTGTGTGTGTGTTTACATATGTGCATATGCATACGTGATGATGGGGATCAGACTTTAGATCAATGATGGGCAAAACGCTACTCGCGAGTAGCGTCTGCGTCGCAGCGCTTATACGTATACAGAAACGACGCAGCGAATTTCACTTCAGTCTGCTTTCAGTTTTCATGAGAGTGACACGACGCTTCGCCGTTGAATATTTTTATTCGTAATTTTAGCGCGTTGTTGCCACCTATATATGTAACAATGCCCAAAAAGGCTGCGTATGAGTGCCAATTATAGTTTTTGGTACTTTTAATATAAGGCAACATTATTTGTCATGGTAAAAAAGTCAAACTGCCGAATTGTGTAAACCAATTTAAAGTGTTTTGTAATGGGTTTTATGTATATATGTATGTACGATACGACAATTTAATATATTTAGTATACTTTATTGAATACTGAGTTTTTTACAAAGTTTAGAAATTTTAAATTCGTGAATTTTGTTGTTGAATAAACTATCATTTTTTAAAACATTAGTTTAATGAAATTAAATTAAAAAAAACTTTTCATGCGCGTACATATGTACTTGGAGGATGGTTCCGTGCGCAGAAGTGGAAAACTTTTGACTGCC